AGCTATAGCACCTATAATATAGATTCAAATTTCGTCTCATATTCCATAGCTTTTAACATAGTTATATTAATTGTTATTTTTTGTTAATGTTCTGGGTTATGCTCGAGCCAAGATCGATACTAGGAACAGACAGCATCCAGCCCTTATTTGTTATAAGAGAGGGCCAGTTACACCCTTGGACATATGACGACCCTCGTACAAAAAACCAATAATACAACATTATTAAACAAAATTTTGACTTTATATTCAATACCTACTATTAATAATAATAAATAGTTATTACTTATTTTCTATGATTAATTATCTTCTTCTAAAGAGGGGTAGATACATTTATATACAGTGTAAACTCCATATAACGACACTCGATTTAACGATAAACTCTCTAAAGCGTCGAAATCATTTAACTTTGGTTGGTTTAGCTTGTCTACCATACAATGATACACTCTATATAACGTCACAGCCACTCTCAATAACGACAAAATTAAGTAATAAAAAGTACCCTTTAAGTTGCTAAAATTAGTAAAAAATGCGCAGCTGTGTACGTTTTTTTGTCGCTTTGTTATCCTAGCCCGCAATAAACTCCACTGTCGTAATCATGCATACCAAACTTTCTAAGAAGTTCGTTCTTCACCAATATGCCTCAATATCGCAAGATATGAATAAAATACGTAAAAAATACAACAACATTACTGGTGCAGCAAAACACGTCAAATAAAAACAACAGACTTTATAACATTCTTTTTTATGTACATAAGTACTAACAGTAGTCTGAAACAAACTTTGTCTTTTTCTAATTCTGATTTTTCTTCCCTCTATTTAACGGCAACTCTCTATAACGCACTAAAATGCACGGTCCCTTCAGTGTCGTTATATAGAGTTTACACTGTATTTACATTTCAAACTATATTTTATTTTTAAAGTGTAATATTTTTTATATGCAGCGATTTTTTTCTTTGGTAAAGTTATGAGGTACATTAATATTTATATATATGTATGTAAAATACTATCCATTTACTACATATATCATGATAAAAAAAGTATATAAGAAAATCCCACTAATTAAATGAATAATATTGTATTTTATTGAATATGTAACAGACCATGTATGTAAAAAAAGTAAAGTAGCGTTAAAAATATGCATTTTCTAAAAATTATAATAAATACGATTTTAAAAATACTTTTAAACTATAATAAAATAATTTAGCTGTCGAGTAAACGGCTTCCGTTATCAATGAAATTAAAATGATATCAATTCACTCATACAAAAACTTGAACAGAACCACGGCATGTAATAAAGCATCATTACCGCGTGTGGGTCCGTGGCGTGCGTACATCGAGACCTCGTGATAATTTATCATCAATGATATGATAATGTTATCATCATGATATGATAAAGAATGTTCGCGTCACATCCGCACCTCCGATTTACTCTGTAATGTATCCATTGGCGAAATTCAAAATTATACCTACATTAAACTCACTTCAATTATTATCTCAAAAAACAGCTACCGCCTCAATATATGAGAGCGTTTAATATGCTAATTTATATCACTGTCTTGTAAAGGGAAATTATAGAAGCTTCTAGAAGTTCTGTATTCATAATAAACTATTGAAAAATCAACTAACATATAGGTATGGTTATGAAAAATGAAAAGTCAGCAGGTGTATTCGGTCAGCGACGTTAGACCTTTGAGCGTACCACGCGCCCAACTCGTTCTGTTACAGCTGTTTGTTTATAAATCGATCGCATTTCTGTACACAAGCTGCTGCATACGTGACCTGGGACGGTGATAACAGAACCTCCTTTATTTATAACGCAGTCGAGTCATTACAGCTACCGGCGAGAACCATGTATTAAACATGATATACGAAAGAAAAAATAAAAAGTATTAATTTTATGTTACAACTTAACGATTCGATCTATCGTTTTATTAATGTGTAATAAAATTGCATTTCTATTATATATAGATACTTAAAATATATATATAATAGAAAGAGAATGTACTAAAATCAATACAGTAGACGCCAAAAAACAAACAAGCAAACCGTATAAAATGATCATTTAAAGACAATGTTATTACAATTGTTGTTAAAATTCAACATGAATTAATTCTGATCGATAAAGAGCATCCGGCCGTTCCTTAAATGTTCACTCGTACAGGGCAATTCGTTTACAATTATAAGAAGACGGGCATATAGTGGATGAGCGGCCGGTAGTATGTTATGGTGCTGGGTTGTGGCTTGTGTTAAAACGTAATTATAAATGTTGTCTGCGGGTCGGCGAGTCGGCGAGTCGGCGAGGTGTCGAGATATCGCGATAATATCAAACGCTCCACTAACCGCCGGCTGTTTGGTTCAGGAATTTAATAAATTTACTGGACCCAGATGTCGCGGTGATTTATTGAGGGTTGCGAGGCGTATACGTATTGATGAAAGGTGTAATGGAGACATTAGCATTTTTAATTTGATAACAACGAGCTCCCGAGGATAAGGATATAAAAGATATACTCATATTATAATTGTATGAACATTATATAGTCATTGGTTTACTATCGTATAAAAAATTGAATACAGTGAAACCGCACGCGACTCGAGCTGAGATACGCGGTGACACGTGCCAAGCGAAGAAACGAGCCAATTAATATAAAAAGGTAATAAGACAAAAACGATGAGGCGGCGAGTGAGTCTCGTGCGACTTGAGACAGTGATTACCATCCCGTTTAGGATGTAGCGTGGAGCAAGGAGCCCGGTAACAGGAACACATGAAATATTGATGACTGCTCATGACCACCGACGGATAACAGATAAATGTTTTAAATACGTCGTATGATATGCCTCTTCTTATATGATTATGGTATGAGATATTGATACAGAGTTACAGTTAAATTTCTTTGCCTTATAATTTTAGTATGACTACTTTTTATAGCTACTAATATGACTTCAAGTAAATTTTTAATCTGTAAATCACCGTTGCTGTAAAGTAGGCGAAACCTCAGGAGTATGTAGTTTATAGTAAAAAATAAAAATCGGGAAGTAAATCTGGAAATATTAGTTTTATTTAAGTAATGAGTACTCGCGAAAATCTTAGATTTCATTAATATAACTTTCATGGTTTGTTCCTTCGAAAAATACACGGATTTTTTTTTAATAATAATAATTTATAGCCTATTTTTTTTTTCCTGTCTGAAGCTAATTCACTGAAGAGTTTCATAATCATCCATAATAACACATTGACAAATTTTTGCATTAATACTATTAATAGTATAAAAAAATAATATTAAATATACATACAATTTTATAAATTTTTAATCATTATTAATTAAAAAGTAAGTTGAATCACGAATCGACGAATCGGATTATCTTAAAAGGGATTGTCAGGAAATTCCCACTGATTAATTGGCGTGTACAAAATAATTTAATTATACCTACAATTAATATAAACCGATTTTACCATATATCATATTATTATTGTCATCATGAGGTAGACCAAAATCTTCAATTACGTAAATAAATTTAGAAACGTGTTGAAATCTCCATAATCTAATCTCTCTGATTATTATGTGTGAAAATTATCATTTAAGAATTCAGACGAAATTCATCTTAAAACTAACGTTTAGAGAAAATAAATTTGAACTAGAAAAAGTATTTGAATATAATCTATTTATATATAAGTAATCATATTATCATACTAGTTGTTACGTAGGTAACAAATAAATATTGACAGTACACTTAGAAGTATCACGCTAACACAGCACGAGACGTTTTGAAACTACCCAAGAATCAAGACGATACTGAAAATGAAATTAAAGCAGACTAAATATAACATGAGAAAAGATTACATCATTTATATACATACAAATAATTATAAAGAAATAACAGAATGTTTTAATTTAATATCAATTATCAATTTTTCTGACTTTTAAAAGTACAGTTGTTTTAAATTTTATGTATTACTAGCTTTCCGCCCGCAGCTTCGCCCGAGTGGTGTTTGATTATATCGCGTTTCCAAGAGAACCTTTCAAAAGTCTGGGCTAAAAACTATCCTATGTTCTTACTCAAGGTCAACTCTATCTCTGTACCAAATTTCATTAAAATCAGTTCAGTGGTTTAGGCGTGAAAGCATAACAGACAGACAGAGTTACTTTCGCATTTATAATATTAGTAACGATAGTTTTGTTTTTACCGTATAGCAGAGTTAATTCTATAACATATATTAGATTTATCTCCGTCTTTAAATTGTTACATCAAGGGCAGACAGTCTTCCGAATACCATCCCAGCATCCCCTCGGGAAATTGAGATTGGTTGTGCGTTCAGACACTTATATACATAAATACATACATTTATTATATTACAGTGATATGGCAATTATGAAATGTTCAATAAAATTATTAAATTTTGAGAAGAGAGCTATAAATAATTTAAGACAATAACATTTTTTTCTAAGAAGTACTAGTAGTAGTATAGTAGTTGGTAGTCAGTTGTGAGTAACGACTCCCCAATTTATAGTACGTCCGTCTTTCAAGTAATTGTATTGTCAAATCACATTCCTCAGTGCACCGGTCGGTCGCCGCTCGTCTAGAATGTACCGACCAAATCGTCTACATAACGTTTTAAATTCCAACATAAGATATTCGTTGTTACAAAATACTTGGACAGTGTTGGTAATTAAAGCATCAAATTATTTGTAATAAAACCTCTCGCCAGTTAGTTCATAAGGTATACAGGGTGACTGGTGAGTTACTATCAATATTTAAGGAGAATACTCGGTACATGATTCTCATTCGGATTATGTATTAATTTTTATTTCGTCATATATGATCGTCAAATATCACGTTCTCAAGTATCGATAGTAATTCACCAGTCACCCTGTATATTGTTGCACACTAGCGGGACATCCGATCCTCAGTTTTCGGGATAGTGATACCCTCATCAGCCACAAATTACACCTTCGCATGTTACATAATTAATTTTGCATTACGACCGTTGCTAATTTCGCGTGTTATGATTCGTGGATGTTACCCCGGGGCGCGGGGTAAACACCAATTAATCCTGGCAACACGATCCGTTGCTCTGGGGTGGCCCTCCAGCCCTCCAGCCCCTCGATCGCTGCATAATCCTGCATTTCTACTGCTTCCGACGCAATCGTGAAGGGCGTGCCGGAGGGGCATATTTCTTTTAGTATTGTTTCGGTGATCGATATTGTTCCACATAGTATGATGGGTTTATAAAGACGGCTACACAAATACTTCACACACAATATTATCTTTTTACTATCTAGTCATATGACCATTCTGCAGCTTTTCTACGAGTGATGACTATGTCAAATACGTATGTAAACCAACTAGCGTGTTAAATCATTAGCATTGCTTATCTTGATAGTAAATAACACGAATAAAAAGTAACAAATGGTTATAGAAGTGCTCTTTATTACAAACATAATTTATTTCACAGCGAATGGTGAGGATTGTTACCCTACTAACTAATGATTTAACTTTTTCCCGTCCTTTGGTTTTTGTTTTCCTAGAGTCCATTAAAATGTGAACCTTAATGCTTCACATTAAGGCATAATATCAAAGTTCTGGAGTACAGGAAATTTAATCCACAACTTTCATTTTGTCTCTTCACGCCTTTGTCAATTGTTAAGCTGAATTACAGATAGTGAATATTCAGAACACTTGATGGAAAGATCGTATTCAATATTTAAGACATTTATATGACAACAGGTCGTGCTGAACAATGATGGTGCGTTAAAATTAATATACTAAGGGGATATAAATCAAATAATATTATATGATGCTTATCTAACATTGAATGTTAGTTTTATATTGACATAGTTCGAGTAACGAAAATCTACAATAAAATCCTTAATAGTCAATGGTGAGATTACATCTAAATCTATCGATACTTCCTCTGCCCTTTAATAAACACTCAATGAGATGTGGATGTCCATAAATCTATTAAGCCAGAACCTTTGTTCCTGGACCTTTAACTGTAGCATTCTTAAGAGGCATCAGATGAAATAAATATATTATTAATACAATATAAACAAAACCGTGTCTGTCGTACACTGCGGAGACGCTTCACGCTGTTATCATTACGATTCATTATCTTATCGTTAACAATATCAACAGTTTTGAGAACTTCCGCTCGATCTTTGACGTTGCAGATAAAAACTTAATGTGCCTACATTTTTAATTTATCATAGAAATCTTAATTTTTATTAAGTAAAAATTCTGTACGATATAATAAACACCTAAACTACTTTTAACCAATATACCTACAGTAGGACCTCGATTATCCGGACTAATTGTTGTCGGTAGGCATCCGGATAATTGAAAGTCCGGATAATCCAATATATGAAAAAAACCGGCTTTTTGCATATGTACATATGTAAGGCGGCCAACCGTCCCGCAATTCTAGACGAAATCAAGCTTTGAAATTATAAGTAAAATAGTACCGCAAAACGTTGTACGCGTTCCGCATGTCCCGCATCCCTATTTCTCTACCAGACTTGTATATAACACCCATACCACGGTCAACAGTGCAGGAACACAGATTACCTATAAATTATAATATCGACAAGCGTATCGCGCCCGCGCTAATCTCGTTTTCTTTCTTTCTTCTGAACTCATGACGCGTAAGAGAGCACTTAAATTTAATATGATCAGTTGCGAAGATTTTTATGACACTTCCAATCCCTAAACCCCCCCATTCACGAAAAGTTAAGTCCCGCATTCAGTTTTCGGAAAGTTGGCCGCCTTATACAGCCACGGGCAAAAGTATTAGGCACCCTACAGTAAGACAAGTTTTAGAGTGTTTTAGCATAGCGAGTGTAAATAAAACTGCATTTATGATTACAATGGTTTATTTTAAGAAAATAATTAATATTTTGTAGGTCCACCTTTTGACTTAATAACCGCAGCCACTCTTTTTGGCATTGACTCTACCAGCCTGAAACATTCTTCTCTTGATATATTTTTCCATTCCTGCTGTAACGCGGCCAATAGAGCTTATTTATTGCTAATCGAGTGCCTGCGGATATTTTTCTTTAAAATGGACCAAATATGCTCAATCGGGTTGAGGTCTGGTGATTGTGGTGGCCAGTCCAAAAGATCAATATGATTTTCAGCAAACCACTTCATGGTATGCGCGGACTTGTGGCAAGTGGCGTTGTCTTGCTGAAATTTCAGGCCATCGGTGTTTGTATCACCGAAAATTTGCGTTATCGACGTTGCTAGTGCTGTTTCCAGAACTTCAGTGTATTTAACACTATTCATTCGTCCCTCACACAACACCATTTCGCCCACTCCGTCGGCAGCCATGCAGCCCCAGATCATTATTGAGCCTCCACCATGCTTAACAGTGGGAACCACACATTCTGGGTTGTATTCTTCGCCAACCCTTCGCCTAACATAAGTCACACCGGGTGTTCCAAACACCTATGCCAAACGAAAAAAAAAACACATTTATTTTCAAAGTTATTATTTTTCTTGCAGTACGTTATTTTAAAAACATTTATGTGTTTTAATATTGTACATAAAATAAATAACAATACCTCAAAGTTAGATTCGTCTGACCACAGTATGTTGGACCAATCTTCCACTGACCAATCTCTATGTTTGAGTGCCCACTCCAACCGATTTTTCTTATTGTGTTCTGACAGCCACGGCTTCTTCCTTGCTTTAAATCCTTTTAATCCAGCTTTAAGAAGTCTTCTTCTCACAGTATAAACACTCACTGAGCTGCCTTTTGCCTCAGATAATGCTGCAGCGAGCTCTAAAGCAGTTTTTTTCCTGTTTTGTAGAGACTGCCTAATCAACAATCGATCTTCCCGTTCAGTAGTAACTTTTCTTCTGCCTGTTCTTGGTCTATTTTCATGGGTGCCAGTCTCTTTGAAGCGATTTATAGCATATTGAACTGCACATCGCGAGCACTTCACTTCTCGGGCTATTTTAACCTGAGACATGCCTTGTTCATGTAAAATCTTAATTCTAAGACGCTGTTCAGCACTAAGTTCAGATTTTTTCGGCATGATTAACACGTTAAATGTTAGTCTTTAGAATTGTGATAGGAATAGTTGCGTACAAGACGTGTATGTTCACTGCAAGCACTGATAACACACTATAACCCGAAACGCAAAAAAAGCAAATTCGAAGAAACACCGCTTAGGAGCACACCTGGATGTCATAAATATTTTCTTTTATCTTAATTTGGTTAAAAATTGCCGCTAATACAATAGCTAAACCATAAAACACACATTTGACCGCAATATAATGAGATAGTGACTAACAAGAGGGGTGCCTAATACTTTTGCACGCAGCTGTACATATGTAGTCTGTACCATACATATGTAATGTTAGGTGTTTATTTAAAACAACAAATACATATGAGCGAGAATCTACGAAAATCACGTAAGGCACGAGTGGCGTGGGGTTATGCAAGTTCTGACATGTTAATGTTAGAATAAACTCGTCGCGATTGGCAGTCCGGATAATCGCGAATTCGGATAACCGAGGTCCGGATAATCGGGGTCCTACTGTATATCCTTTTGTGATTGTGTAAAGTAAAAGCTTGTAAAACTTAAGATTATTCCAAATTTTTACCACTATTAGTTTGCATTTATATGCTTTGTTTGAAGGCAGGTGTGCTCAAAGCTTTTCAACAGCAGTGTAGAATTCCTTTAAATCTATCATATTATGGAAATATTATTGTATATAATATGTATATAACCATAATAAAGTTATGGGAGGAATGTCAAGACCTGGAGCGCGTGTGGTCGCTCGAATGTCAGAGGTGATGGAGGCAGGTGTGCCATTAACAAGCAGCTGGACTAGCTCGCTAGTGATGCACAATATTGAAATGTTTTATAGAGTTACGAACCAAACGACAGACAATAATATACAAATACCTTATACAGAAAAACAAATATTGATCGGTCGTGTCTAAATAATAATAGGTTAACCATATGTTATAGGTCTAATGACTTAGTAGGTACGTGACATATAGGCTGTTGCGTTGGGTTTTGTATAAAAAGACAACGTGTCAGTGACGTAGTTTCAAGTTACATGAGTGCTCTGTAAATACACGTGTCTCTACTGAACTATGGTATGACGATTCAATATATTTAATAAATTATTACTAAATATATATTTTTGTCATCACGATCGTTCTGATAAAAAAAATTATCACGCGATATCATCATTATACGAATTACTATAAATGTAATTATCTTAATTAGAAATCTATTTAGTATATGTTAGATATAACATATAATAAATATAATATAAGTAAGTATGATAAGTTTATTAATAGTATAATATCGCGTACGTGCGGTGTCCGTTCTCAATGTGACCCAATCGACCTGCAGTAGTGACATTAGCGTCATAGCTCAGCGCGACCTCCAAAACGTTTTCCAACTGACAGCCGTGGCTGGTGGAGCGCGCCCTTGGACGTCCTAACTAACTAGACCAGACGGGTGATCGCCCTAACACACACATACGGCACGATAATTGCACTCGCGGAACCAGTTCCGAGCATTGATTCCTTTAACCAATACAACCTGGCTTCTCATATAACTGTCGCCGCTACACTTCAATCGTATTTAGGTATTTTTATAAGTGTAGGACTTTTATGACTTAACGGACGGATTCTTTCACGTTCGGATTTAGTCGGAATCGACTTATCTGATATCATATTCATCCATTTATTTATAGTTATATTCCGTGCGTGTGAAGCGACTTAAAGTTCCGTATACATCAAATGTAAATATATTACAAGTAAACAATTACACGCCCTACGTCGGTGGTCGGTCCATCGTTTATAAATCCAGACCAGGCAAAGAATCTAGAAGTTATTCTCGAAGGCTGGCTACATTCCTATAGCTCACTGTAAGCTATGACTATTACTAGATACCTGACGAACTTTCATTATTATCAAACAGAACTAAAAGTAACTATAAATGTGAATAAAATATAAAAACAATAAGACAATATTCCCGACCAGTTTAGTTCGATTTCACAACGCACAGCTGTGAATAATTTTTAATTGTTTTATATCCAATCAAATAATTATGTATGACAGGGCACGTGTCAAAAACCTGACAATAAAATAACAAAAAAATATATATGTATATACAAGTTGAACGACCACCTCGCGATATATGACTCAGATCTACCTGACCGGACCGGAGTCTTTGGAACCCATCATGAGAAAGCACAAAAGGAGTTTTAATCTACGCCTGAATAAACTTTAAGATATCACAAAGTAGGTACTGGGATTACAATTTTTTTTACAAACCAAAAACATGGAGATCGAAATAATGGAGCAGATGGTGGAATATTGAGACTGATTTTTTATAGGAAAGATTCAATTGCAATCACGGTCGAAGATTCTTTGGCGATGCAAGAGCCTTACTCACAAACGTATAGTAACACAAAAGCTTGTAAATTTTGTGATAATAACATCGATCTTCTACATAGTTTTTTAGTTTTTTTAACTTTATAATTCAACAATCACTAACCTGGCGATGTAAATAAAACTGCCTTAATTGCTCCACACGCTTGACTATACCTTTTTTTTACAACGCTTCAAGTACATAGCACGTATAGTATTTCGGTGGGATATTTTTTTATATTAAATTCCACCTATCCCAACTATTATAATTCTTTTGTTAACAAAAAATAATTTATTGTATTCAATAAATAAAATTATTACGAATTAATTGCTTTGACTCTTCTATTTATCGAGTTATACTGAACATATGAAATAACTTAAACATTAAAATTTAAAACTTTATCTTTTGTCACATATACAGTAATTGATCCTTTAGATTTCTATGAAATATATAAGTACAAATCTTATATCCGATATAACTATATCAGTAGCAATGGTTAAAACACTGTGTGGTAGATAACATATCGTAATATATGGCTTATGTAATGTATTAAATATATAACGTCATTATATGAACCACAAATAAAACAAGTCTATTGAAGGAACATAAAAATTAGAAAAATAATGTTCTTGAAAAGGCAAGATAGAACATTACCTAGTACATTTGTCGTAAATCATATAAAGATATGATTTATAGAATAAATAAAAAAATATTTTAGAACAATTTAATCGTGATTTGCGGTCCATTGCTATAAAAAAAATCAGGAAAATCAGAAAGCAAAAATCAAAAAGGATACATTGTACGTAGCAGTCTCGAAAACGAATTACTTTATCATTTACATGCTACCAATATATACCTATATATATATATTTTTATATTAAAACATCTCTCCTAGCTCTATCTGTCGTGGAAGAACAAAAAGTTGTTCCCAAAGCAAATCACGTCCGATGCGTTTCCCGAGCCCTCCGCCTGCACCGGCCAATGCGCCCGCGCACGCTTCTAATGACTGAGAGGAGGGAGGGGGGGGGGGCACCGGTCGGCCGGATGAGGTATGTTACAGTTGTGGGTATAGCGTGGAAGTAATGCTTGTAATATAGAAAAAACAACTGTAATATTATAGGAATAAACGTACGTAATGTAAAGTAAAAGGTTTGTTGTTGATACACGCAGTACGATCACTAGCTTCAGAGTTTAATGATACAATACATTCGATTACCAGAACGCGTCTTAACTCCACAGTTTTCGTAATAATTAGCATTCATACGTTATGTTCTATCTGAACTCGGTCAACAGAAAACTATAGTTTCATAATTAAGATGTAAGGCATCATAACACCGAGATAACGTCACGGTTATCATAAAAATAATGCAATTTAGACTAATCAAGATGCCCACGATATATTAATGCATAACGTATCAGAATGAGGCCTTTGATCACAGCTGTACTGAGCTCAAAGCTACGTACGAGTGGTTGAGATGTAACGCGTTAATATAAAACATTAACAAAAATTAACGAGCCATATGATAGACGAGGTCGGTGCGCTCTCTGACGTTGTTTCATATAACATCATTGTAATATATAATCAAACAGCCAGCTGCTTACTATAGTGCCGCCTGGAACTCGTCCTGGCACCCCCCCACCCCCCACCCCCCTCCCGCCGTGCCCGGTTAGAACTTCCTAACTTTTTATTTTACAGCTCACCCCTCCGCTTGGTCGCGCGAACCCACTACCAACAAAAAGCGTTTCTTCGTTTTGTACACACTTGTTTAACTTTCGCGCCAGTTCGGGACCGTTGTTAGTTAAATGGATTATATATTTTGTAGGTTTTCATTTAATTTTACTTGATACGAATGAGAGATGGTTTCTATGTTTTATTTAGAATGCGTACGAAGTTTTTTGACGACACAATACGACAAGTGTAGATTATATCAGTGATAAGTATTTACGTATTTCCAGTGAATTCTTGAACACACGTATAGTATTTTTGAGTCTGATAAGGTTCAGATATGTAATAGGACAAGTGTTGCCTTATCATTCATTTATTTAAAGATAACTCATAGAATTTCGTTAACCCAATAGGTCTTGAGAGTTCTATCACAACATAGAAACCCTTAGTAAATTCTATAAAAAGATCGCTTACATTTTCATTCTTCTAATTTCTACTAAACATATACATATTTAGTAAAAGTAATTTATAAGAATATTCCTATCATCGAATTTTATTCATTTAGTAATTACAAAATGTAAATGTACTATACATATCATATAAAAAAAAACGGTTTTTAACAAAAATGATTAATATAAGATGTTTGTTATATTTCAAACATCAATTTAAAAGCCTTATAAATAAAAAAATGTCTGTCTATAGAAGAGAATATACATATAATATATATTATTATTATCTGTATATGGACGCCATAATAAAAGGCGCGTAGCTCGTAAGACAGATGAATTTTCACCCACGCCCGCCGCGAGCCGCGCCTTGCAAGTTATCATAATGGGTGACCCACATACTAGTCAACAATACATGTTATCTGTACATTGGACACTACACAATATTTATTATTTAAGTAACTAAATAAAATAACTTCAAACTGAACTCATCATATACCTTACAGTCAAAAGATGAATTTCATTGTATTCATAATTCATATTGAAAACATGATTTTTATGACAAATTATTATAGTAACTTCCATATTAAATACGAACAGAACTTCTATAATTCTTACCTAATATATACATACACCTGTGCCTATTACAATCTATCTTATGTACCTACATACACAATATATTGTGCAATTTAGAAATAGTTAAACGATACATATACTCCGTTATATACTTAGAAAAATGATTGTTTAAATGTATACAATTAATTCAATAATAAAATATATTAAACAATTACTTTTAATTCATGTTTCTACTAGAACTTCCGGAGAACGCTCAAAAGAATAAAAATCTATTAATTCTAGTTGTATTGTAATAACGACACTAAAGTTATGTATTGTAAATCAAATTATATTGTTTAATATACATAAATACAGTAACCAAGAGTTTTAACGGTAAAGTTTTCTCAAACAAATAACACACTTAGACGTTTTCACATATAAAGGTTCAAATAAAATGTATCAAAATATATGTATACTTTATATAAGACTTAGAGCATACAAAAAAATTAAAGAAGTATATATGCAATGAAGAGCATAAGATCATTATTTAAAGATAATATAATTTATCATTAATTTATAGACAATAATGTTATGTAATAAAATATAATGAAAAATAAATTTCTATGTACAATGTCACACGCATTCCACTATCAGACAATTCATAAAAGTGATATCATTTTTGTTAAGACAATGAGATAATTTTTATCTCATGACAAAAGATAAAAATTTGGACTTAATGAAGTCAAGTTCAGTGGAGCCACCTTGACTATGAGGATTTATGTATTGATTATAGCAACCTAGGGAATTTAAGATCTTAAATTAAGTTAATACTTATTGTTTTTAATGAAACTTAAATTATATAGTAAAAGATAAAAAATCGTTCAAAAACATTGATAACTCTTCCATAGATTTACTCAAGAAATACGTCAAGAGGTTACGTAAAATAAATGAAAATATATTGCGAATTAAGGATATCATATATTTTGTCCAAATAAAGTTTGAATTTAGAATTTTTCAGTTATAATTTGTAATATGACGTTTGTACTTATACAAAAATACTTTTATTTGAATAAAACAAAACTAAATTGGAATAGTTTAGCTTGTTGTGTGAAGAGACGATGTTGCTATTCGTATCTTATTACATATTATGTTCCGGTTGAGAAAACACCAAAAGATTATATTCTATCCATGTGAACTAACTGTAATGTAAGCGTTAAACCTAGGGAAACTTTCAATGCGACATTCATCGCAAGCCGTGAGTTAGTAGGAAATGTCTCCTCGGATGAGATTAGAACCGTGCATCTCGGCTCACCGACTATTTCGAGGGCATTCAACCGAATAGGCCTAGCAACACGACTCACTCACGATGGCCATGACATCCAAATAAGTATAACAGCCTGCGGTCACTAGAGCATTGACTTCGGATTTCGACACTATCAAAACAAAATAATATAAATAAAAAATAGCAAACAAAACAAATGCTATCCAACTAACCTGTCAGAGGATTCGGAGCTGTCGTATCGGTCGAAGCATCTCTTCTTCCTATCGTCCCCGTCTTCGAGGGTCGAGGCGGGTGTTTTTCGGGAATCAGTTGTCACGGTACGTTCGGCGACCACGCCGCGCGTCTCACAATTCTCACACGAATCCAGTTCGGTGTAGAACGACAACTTCAATCTAACACCGTCCAGGGTCGGTCCACTACACTTTTTTGTGTCACAACATGACGGCTCGGACGCGGAAAAAGTTAAATCGTCAATTCGAGTCGATCCGGCGCGGTCCTCGGGCGACCCATCCGCCATCTTTGAGCGCGCGAGTGTTTTGTCAGTAGTTTCGGTGCGAGTCCGCGGGCCGCATGGGCGCTGCGATCGCTGCAGACGCGGAGCGAAGGCTGCGTGACGTCACGGCGGCTGCGCGGCCCGCGGAGGCCGAGCGGTGACGTAAGGACTCCGCCCCGTGCATGTGCAGGCCCGCCGTCATTGGCCGCGAGTTACGCAACGCCAGAGCCTACTCAAACACTCGCGGAAGGGAGCCTAGGACTCGCCGGCGATAGGGACGGGCCCATCCCGGCCCTAACGTATTAATGCAGCGTAATGACCAGACACGCACACACACGCACACACAAACACACACACACGCACACAGGACATATTAAAAAACAAGTGCATCGATATTAATGACACGTTTCACCCTCTAATATGTTGAGTTTTTTTATTCTAGTCCCAAACAAACGAGCTATTTTTAAGCCCATCTTTATTTAATGATCGAAAAATTATAGTAACATTTTAAATGTTTGTATTAATATGCATTAACTGCATATAAATACTGTTTTTCACTATCTGGCTACTATTTAAACAGAATGCATAGGTATTATTACTTTTAGAGATTTATTACTGAGGACCTATAACAAATTATTAATTATTATGTTTTATTTTTAATTATCGAAATACAAATTTTGTTGATAACACATATATTTTTATCATATTAGAAACACTATGTACAAAAAGTTTATTCAGTCAAACTAATTAGTATAACTTTTTTTGTGTTCCAATTTTAAATTTTTATCTTTTGTCTAGCCAATGAAATAATTGATAATTTTTTTAAAATGAAATTTCTATAAAGGAATAAACTTAAATTATAGGGCATACTGTTTTTGATGTTTGGTAATATTTAGGCATGCGCGGATCGTTCCTGACACGCCCATTCAATAAGGTTCCGTACATATATTAGAGTTTTATAAATTTCAACTCTATTACATTTGTTTAAGGTTTAGTTTAGATAAGTTTTTGAAGGAATTCCGAATAAATAGAAAATAAGTAAATGGGTTCCAATAGAAAAATTTAAACGTAGGAGTTTATCGTTGTTGTAAACAATAAGCAGTACCAAAGATACACGCATACTGACGTTTAAAATTAGTTACATGAAACAACATAAATAAGTTTCATATTGTAGAATATTTTTATTTAACTGTTTTCTTATATTAAAATTTTTAAGAAATATCTAAAAATAAACTGAAAGATTTTATATTATTGTTTTCATTGTTTTGTAAGTTTCATGTAGTCAGCGCCATCTCTTGGCACTCTCTGTTATGTTAGTAAAGCTTCTTACAGACGTCAGTCGCCCTTACAACGTCACACCTGTCACATAAAGCTATGACAAATATCCGCTAGATATCTCTAAATCAGTTATATTTGTAAATAATAACAATAGTCAATAAAGTATATTTTGTAATTTTAATTATATATTTAGATTTTAAAATCAATAATTTTTATATTTATTAGGAAATACAGAATAGTACACAGGTCTGAAAAAAACATATCTTTTTATTGAGGCATTTTAGTTTCAACTTACCACTATAATGTTGCTATGTATATTTGTAGGGTTGTATAGATAAAAAAAAAACAAGAATTGTAGGAGAATTTATATATTAGATCTGAATCAATATAAATACAGAGAAAAATATCACATTTAAAACAAAAACATAAATATATAAAATAAAACATTCAACATATAAAAATACAACATCTATATATGTAACGGTTTCTCATAATTTCTTTGTCTGTATATAAAATAGTTCAATAAGTTACAATCACATATAATAACAAGCACCATACAAAATCATGCTATAATTTAATACTATGGATTTACTCACTTTTACTCTCATCTGATTTATTTTTTTATTTCTTATAATCTTACAACTTTGGACATAAATATTAATAAATCCATACATATCTCATTTAATTATTATTATTATAATTTATTTCATATATTTAACTCTGAGGTAGGAAGGGTTTGTCACTGAACTATTGGTCAAATGAATTGTTAAAACAAAAATGGAATCATTCTGATGGGATAATTATTATAAAATAATTTTATTAAAAGCATATGTATATTGTATAGAATGAAGATTCTTAGAGTAAGGAATATAAGGAATTGTTATTTGTATATTAATTTGTACTTGTTTCAATTATTGGAATGTAAGATGATTTTTAATATATAAATATTTCAGAGAAATTAAATTTTTGACTACATATATGAGTTATAAAAAAGATACGCAATATAATAGGACAGTATTAAGAAAATTAAATGTTAATAACAAAACTAATTTGTGACGACAACATCAATAATAAATATTAATTAATATATAGATCATCATCATAAGATTTTCGTTCTAATAAATTATTTTGTATTATAAATCAATACTTAATTAAGTTTATAATTATGACTTATGTCCATAGAGATGTCGGTAGCATTCCTTCCATAGTAGTGTTTTTGGGTGTGAGTACTTCGTTACAGAGGAAGTTCAATGGAAAATCTACTAAATATCCTTGTATGAGATCTATCTTTCTATTAGCCAGTGCCGGGTCTCTGTGCCAAAGACTTTCGCTGTTCTCTTCTTGATATTTCTTTAGTTCGGCAAATGTATGAACCGAGTCCGATGGCAATGTGTGGAATACCTTAGAAATAAATAAGAATGATAATTATATAATTATACTTAATTGCGAGTTATCTAATATACATATGTGTATTAGATAACTCGCAATTAAGTTTCTTAATATCTAAGAAATAATTTTATGGAGAAAATTTGGAAAAGAATATAATATATTTTCTTTATACAAAAAATAATCAGTTCAGTATTGAGAAAGGATTTAAATGAAAATAATGATTCAAAACTATAAATAAAAATCAAAACCTATTAGTTTTATATTGTACAAGTAGACTTAATGGTATATACACAGTAATACCCCGCTTAACGCGACCTCGTTTTCCGCGGTTTCACTATAACGCGATTTTCAAAAATTTATTCAGGTTGGGACATTGCAGAGTATAGACAATAATGATGAACGTGTGTCAAACGATTAAAAAAAGTGTTTGGTGTTATGAACGTATTTTACAAGAACGTAAACAAAACGCTACCCAAAAGACAATACATGTACTTTTTCGTAAAAAATAGGAGTACCTATGTATTGTATAGTGTTCTTAGAATTAAAGTAATTGATTAAAATGATTTTTATATTTGTGTATAAAATTTTGAGTGTGTTTAATCATAAACCTCGATATACGCGAATTTCAATTAACGCGATTTTCTTCAGAACGTATCCCTCGCGTAAAGCGGGGTATTACTGTATATAATGAGTTTCTATTCTCACCTCTTCATATATCTCAGTGTTAAGTCTAGACCGAGCCTGCCAGACTCCTTTATAGAACTCCTCGCTGCAAGGATCCTCTATATTAAGACCGATCCTCTCCAAGTCTATATCCAGTAGTCCCAGATGTTCCCGGAACAGCTTCTTCCTCAGCCCACCCACTAACTTGCCAGAGGGAAACGGTTTACCGCCCATAGTACCGTCTTCGAATTGTTCGTCCTATTCATATAAAGGTATTATGAGAATTAAATAGATTTGTTACAAATCTTGTAGTTGTTAAATCTGAACATATACAGGGTGACTGGTGAATTACTATCGATATTTGAGGACGTGATATTTGACGATCATATATGACAAAATAAAAATTAATATAACATAAATATGTATTAATAAACTTCTAAGTAAAGTTAACCAAAAGTTATGTAATTAATTACGCATCGTGTGAACACCCTACAGATTAGGTATACACACACACGCGTGCGGCGGCGTGGTGTTGTATCAGCACGCCGCCGCACGCGTCCACACTTGGAACACTTGGAACGTGTCCACACTTTATTTATTTATACGGAAATTTGGTCAAAAATTAAGTACTTATTTTTTTTACATAATTCGAATGAGAATCATGTACCGAGTATTCTCCTTAAATATTGATAGTAATTCACCAGTCACCCTGTATATGCAAGGATGAAGATAGAATATAAAAATCTTTAATTTTATGGAAATATAATATTAGAAATTGACCCACATCGACTGTGATAATTAAATCGTCAGTGTCAGCTATATAATGTCAATGACATCTATGTTCAGTCCACATCACTTATGAATCATCTATATAAATTCAGTGTCACACACATATGTACAGTCAATGTAACCGATATGCACTCAATGTCATTAATATACAGTCAATGTCATCAATGTTCAGTCAGTGTCATCTATGTAAATTCAGTTAAACCCACATATGTACAGTCAGTGTCACCTACATACATTCCGTGTCACCTACATACATTCCGTGTCACCTATATACATTCAGTGTCACCTACATACAGTTCACATCACCTATATACAGTTCACATCTCCTATATATAGTTCACATCATCTATATACAGTCGTTTCATCTGTATAACTACATATTAACCTGCAGCAGCACAGCTATCTCCGAGTCCCTAGTGCCGATCATGGACCTGTCGTTGATGTTCGCGCTGCCGCATATAGCGACCCGGTCGTCAGCCAGCAGCAGCTTGGAGTGCACGTACACCAGCTCGGTGACCGGCTCGCCGTCCAGCTGTGCGTGCGTCCTCAAGCCGTGGAACGTTATGTAGATGGAGGGGTCCGTAATACCTGCCTCATATAGACGGGTCAGGATCGCCTCGCGACTCCTGTGGGTTATATATGTTTTATTGTTTATATAATATACATTACTAGCTTACGTGTGGAGTTCGGTTATATCGCGTTTCAAAGAGAACCTTTAAAAAATCTGGGATAAAAACTATCCTATGTTCTTTCTCAAGGTCAACTCTATCTCTGTACCAAATTTCATTAAAATCAGTTCAGAGGTTTAGGCGTGAAAGCGTATTGTTAACGCCCCCGTATTGTTAAAATACAGATGTATAAGTACATATCCGTTAATATGTCGTATGATCTTGAAATAAGGTCATTTATATATGTATGTATATATCTTGGATTTAATTATTTCATCTTACTTTTATAATTACATAAAAGACAGTTTTGTTGAAATAAATTAAATTTTTATATTTAATATATTATTATGAGATTTGCCCGCTTGATTTTTCATAAAGGTAAACATGAGTGATCACTGAAAATCAGCGCTGTCGTTCCTGGGAATTTCACAATATATTATTATCTTAAGTAAATAAAAAGAAATATTTATTTAAACTTCTATTTTTTTTTATTATTACTTTTTTTGCTCTGTGTGTGGAATTCTAAACTTTTGGTTAACTTTACTTAGAAGTTTATTAATATTTATGTTATATTAATTTTTATTTTGTCATATATGATCGTCAAATATCACGTCCTCAAGTATCTATAGTAATTCACCAGTCACCCTGTATATTTAATCTCTAACAATACTAGTATGTACTATCATAATTATATTCCATATTATAACCTGCATATACTCCGATAGTTCCAGTGTGTGACCGCGTGTAGCGAGGTGCCCGACGCCGCTCCCAGCTCCCCCTCGAAGGCAGGCAGGAGGGGCATCACGACGAACGCACGGAACGACTCGCCCGTACGATGCGCGCGGACTATACGGTTGAATAACGCCTCGCCTATCTGGAATATATTACAAAAAAATATTAGATAATGTTGTATTAAGTATTAAGTATTTATTTATTTATTTAATTATATATAGATACAATACAATCATACAATAACATATTTTTTATTGCGATCACTATATACTGGAGACTGGAGCCCGTGATGGGTATAGGAATACCTGTATTACAGGTCTCCAGGTTGTATGGAGAGGAGCTTTAAAAGTGTATGGGACTTACGATCTAGGTGTAGGTTTAGAGTAATCATATATATCTGGAATATATTATATAAGAAATGTATTAGATAATGTTGTAAAGAGAGGAGCTTTAGTAGTGCATGGGACTTGAGATCTAGGATCTTGAGATAAGGCGCAATAAACGCTCTCTCTACCCAGTGTTGTAACTAGGCTTTTATGCACCCGGTGCGTGCTTTCGAAACTACGCCCCAAAAAAAAAAATGCTCTAATCAGACTCTAAAAACAAAATGAACAAGTGTGCATACAAATAAATCTATATTTTTGTACATAGGTGTACAACTTTGCTTCCGCCGTTTTGCAATAGATGGTTGTAGCGGTAAGTGGTAGTCGAAATAAATAGATCGTAGATGTCATACAATAAGCTTAGGCATTTGTAAACATAACGCCATCGAAATATTAGTCGATTTGTGTCTGCATCAGAAAGTTATTCTCGATTAAACATGTCAGCTTACGAGCCAAATTCTCGTCATTTGCGGGAGGTTTTAATTTTCTGCATTAATATGAAGAAATCTGCGGCTGAGGCTCATGGAATGCTCTCAAATACCTATGGTGAGGCTGCTATTAGAGAAAGAACGTGCCGAGAGTGGTTTCAACGCTTCAAGAACGGTGATTTTGACGTCGAAGACCGGCATGGCGGTGGAAGAGAGAAGGTTTTCGAAGATGCAGAATTGGTGGCATTACTTGATCAAGACTCGTTTCAAACGCAACAATAATTGGCAGGATCATTGGGAGTGATGTAACAAGCCATTTCAGAATGCCTGAAAGTCATGGGAATGATTCAGAAACAAGGAAATTGGGTGCCGTACGAGTTGCAGCCGAGAGATGTTGAACGGCGTTTGTTTGCTTGTGAATAGCTGCTTGCAAGGCAAAGGATTTCTGCATCGCATTGTGACTGGGGACAAAAAATGGGTTCATTACGATAATCCCAAGCGCAGAAAATTATGGGGATATCACGGCCATGCTTCCACGTCGACGGCCAAACCGAATATTCACGATTCCAAGGTATGCTCTGTATTTGGTGGGACCAGCTCGGCGTAGTGCATTATGAGTTGTTAAAACCGACTGAAACAATCACAGGCGATAGTTATCGAGCACAATTAATGCGTTTGAGCCGAGCATTCAAAGACAAACGGCCGCAATACAACGAGATACATGATAAAGTGATTTTACAGCACGACAAAGCTCGACCCCGTGTTGCGAAAGTGGTCAAGACATACTTGGAAACGTTGCAATGGGAAGTTCTACTTCACCCGCCGTATTCTCCAGACGTTGCTCCCTCGGACTGTCACTTGTTTCAATCAATGGCACACGGCCTGGCTGACCAGCACTTCCGGTCTTATGAAGAAGTTAAAAATTGGATCTATTTGTGGATCGCTTCAAAAGATGACCAGTTTTTTCAACGCGGGATTCGTATGCTGCCCGAAAGATGGGAGAAAGCAGTGGCCAACGATGAACAATACTTTGAATCATAAATGTATAACCAGTTTTTTACAAAAAAGCCTCGAACTTCGGAACAAAACGGCGGAAGCAAAGTTGTACACCTAATAGTTTACCAAAGTAACAAAGTATAAAGCTACCATGCATGAGATAAAGCTAGATACTAGTCTGGTTATTTCTGCGCAATGTGCCTGGGCACTTCTGGCACCGCCCTAGTTACGGCACTGTACCTTACGATATTTCAAATAAACCTACCAAAGCTGCGTTAGAAGTATGTTGTTAGAATGAATATTAGTTCTGGACAGAATCATGTCTTTTAGTAGGTTGTAGAGATTCATCTGTTATACCTTTCGCTCGCATTTGTGGCTACAATTTTTTAGTGACTTAGTTAGTAAGCTCGTAATACTTACTGACCTTGATGGCATGGTCTTTAGAGACGTTGTTTTCCCAAAGAAAGGTAAGTTCTATTAACACAGCGTGCTTTAAAACTATTTGAACACAAAAATCCTATTTTGTGCGGATTGTATATGCTATATGTTTTCATATTCATCACTATATAGCTCTATCTTCAACTTCTTATACTATAAATATATTTATTATATAATATATATGTTGTATATTCCCAAAGAGGGTTGATGTGAAGGCGGCCGGTCGTAAAACAAATAGCCAAAACTATTCATAACATGTAAGGCAGAGTCTGGCTATAGCTGGGAAATTGCCAGGTAGAAGAAGAATATATATGTTGTATATAACTAGCCTGGTTCCTAACGCTGTGACTGGAGGCAGACAGCGTGATGTAGAACTGGTTCTCTATGTACACGTAGTGCTGCGCGCGTGTGATAGTATCCACGTACGCGTTGTGTATACTCTGTTCCACTGTGTCCGGTTCTAAGAACCCGCACGACCACGAACTGGCGCTGCGAAGAACCTGGAACAAATATATACTACTATCGTCAATAGGGAGAAAATAGACTTGCTTTCTTGAGTGCAACTATATTTCCAGTGACATTGTATGAACAAACTATCTATTCAATACATACATCTTGGACAAGTTATATCAAACTATCCACTTTACTACTTATTATAGACTTTAGACGTACTATTCTTTTATATATATCTTGTATATAAAATTCTCGTGTCACAATGTTCATTCCTGTACTCTTCTTAAAGGATTTGACCGATTCTTATGAAATTTTGTGAGCATATTATGTATGTCTGAGATTCGACTAACATCTATTCCTCATATCGGTAAGTGATAAAGGTTGTTCACCCTTAATTTTTTTATAATATAGCAAAATCTTTACTTTTTTATCACCAACCCCTATTTTTTATATGATAAAACAACGTTTGTCGGGTCAGCTAGTATTTGATAAATATGTAAATATTATATACGACAGAATTAGAATAATAGCATAGTAAATTAGGAGCACAATAAAATACGTTCACTCAAGCTAACGTTTAATCGGTGACAAAAGACACATACGAATACCTGAAAACTTACTAACAATTATTTATAATTAATCTACCTCACATATATCACAGTATTATATACATAACGGTATACTATGAAAGCTCAAACGGTATACTGAAAAAACTCAAACAGTTGCAACATCCCAAAATTTACCAATTCTTAATGGTAAATATCCTGAAAGGTTTTTGGTTAAATTAATTAAAGTATATAATTTAGATTGGCTTCTTGTGTTCTCTTTAAATATAACATCTGCCAGCTGACAGCAGTAACACTATATGTATTTAATTAGAATGATAAAAACCTAAAGGAATAGTATTTTCAGAACTACTTACACATACCTTAAGATTTACCATAGTTTAAGCTTTTACATTAACATATTATTTCCATATTTCCATATCTGAATATTCATGGTATGTTTAATATTAATATGTTTTCTATATAGTTGCTCAACTCACTTGACAGGAGACGTTCGTCATATCTATGTTCAATACATTTTCCAAATCCTTCAACGGCTCTATGTCATTGTAGGTCTTAGGAAGCAAGTAGGGGTAGTTTGTGTTCTGTCTGGAAATAATTAAAACAGTTGATTATTACAATCATTCTTGATGATTTTAAATCATATAAATTAGTATGAAAATATGTTGAACTATCTAAAGGTAGTTCATATGAAGTAGTCATTTTAATCAAAGATTTGTTTCAATGAACAGCAGTCATAATAAAATTTCTTACATCATAGAATAAATAATTAATAATAATTCTTATATAAACATGAAACATTAAAAATATATTAAACTGATTTATTAAGATAATATTTTCTGTTTTATTAATGAATATCTATCATTTAAATCATATCTATTTGTATTGTTTTTGGTGCAAACAACCAACACCACACCTGAAGATAACAGAGAATGGAAAAAAACGACTCCTGGTCTTAGAAACAAGATCAGAATTGACTTTATTGAAAATTAATATTTGATACAATCTCACTATTAATTTACTAAATTTATAAAAAAATAAAAACAATTTTAAATTAACAACTTTCAACTATCTCGAAATAAACTTATCGTGAAATGAAATCTGAATATCACACAAACGAAAAATTTAAACACACTAAATAACTTATCACACCACCAAAAGAGTCCTGACAACTGCTTATTTGCTATAAAGAGAACTAAGACTTTAGAGAGTATTCATTGAAATTAAATTCATATTTTCGGATTATTAAACGTATTTTATTTTTTAATTATATGATATCGAAGTTTCGCTTACTATGCAACCGTGATCATGGTTGCTTATATCATATATGTGGTTTTCCCCTCTTCTACCCTCTCATATTCCTACAATATATATATACATATACTATACTATGTATTTACCTGGCTTTCTCCAGTTTAATAGCGTTCCACCTCTGTATGAAGTGCCTGGCCACGTCCCTCGCGGCCGCTCCTTGCAGCATCACGCCCACGTCGTGCCACGGCATACGAGGAGTCGTATTACGGTCCACTAAGTCTGAAAATACATATATTACACACATATTATATTATATATATCACCACAATTCCTATTATTTGAATAACCAATAAATAATAGTTTACAATTATCAGGTGTCAGGTGTCACTCGCATAAACACCTTATAAGCCACCTGAGTAACAACAAGGGTCGGATGGTATAAATAGAGGCGCGAGTACATATCAAAAACATCAAAATATCATAAAAATATCAAATGAAGTAAATTAAATAATAAATTTTATAATGAGAACCCGAAATAAATCTGTTCCACTGAATGAGATCTATGATTTTCGCGAGTACTCATTGTTCTTTTCCACTGTTCCACTGAATTAAACGGAAAATTCTCAAAAAATATATTTGTGTATACTTATAAGTAAACTCACCAACAAATGGCAGATCTAGACTATTAAAGTCTTTAACTATGAAGTTAACGTAATCCTTTCCTATCCACAACTTCGAGTTCCCCTCTATACCCTCCAATGCCTTCTGCGTGTTCTCAGTAATGACCCTTCCCTCCACGACGCTTGCTAAGGGCGCGTGCTCACTATCTTTAGTAATTCCTAATACATTAGACAGTAGTACTTCTTCGTTGGACCTCGCGTATTTTTCCGCCTTTTTCCGTTCCGAATCGTCAAATTTCTGTTCGTTCCTCTCTTCTTCGAAGGGTGGGTATATGATGCTTATAAAGTCTTTTCCTTTATCCGTTATTTTGTCTAGTACGTTTTTCTTCTGTTCTCCGTCACTAATATCATTCTGTAACCCAACTTGTAGTAACTTGTCTTCTATGTTCATTTCTGGTTTCTGTACTTCCGTTTCCTCTTGTTTTTCTGGTTCTTCTTCACTTATTTCTCCTACTTCTTGTATCGGTCTGCAATGGATTTTAAGTTTCATTATAATTTGTGATAGATATCTAAGACTTTGAATGTCATGATTGTATGTCCTAAAGTGTTGATATTTAATTTTGTCCTATTATATGAAAAAAAATTGAAAAGTAATAAGAAAATTCAGGAATTTGAGCTTGTACTTGCCTCAGACATAAAGCTATTCCTTATATTGTATATTTAGGGAACACACATTTATTTTTAACGGAACCTATAAATTCCCGAAAGCAACCAAAGTGAAGTTAAAGCAATGAAATTTGCCTTGTTTATTTTTACGTGGGAAATTATTTATCAACGCGATTTATTAGTGTAAATTAAATGAAACTTATTTAAGGTGTTTTCTTTTAAGATAATAATGATTTTGTTCTAGTTAAGGTTTGATTTGTTATTTAAAAGTACTGGCTTTATAAGACAACCATATTTTTTTAATGAGTTTTTTGGACTCCTATATATATATATATATATACATATATTGATTTTTAATAGTAATTCATCTCACATCTGTAGTCCTATAACTATATCTCTGCTAGTTTTCGCCAGTTCCAACCCAGACTCGACGTACACTCCGCCGGCCGGGTAACTCGATGTTTTCTTCTTAGTTTTTATGACAGACTTAGGATGTAGGATGTTGCCTAGATCTGTTAGTCTGGAAAATAGATCAATTATTATAGAAAAAAATCAATATATTATAGAAAAGGTGGAGCATTTACGAAATGTATATTTAATGTTACGACTATAAAAACACACATTAAATAAAAACAATGCGTTTATTTAAACTACCAATTTCACTTAATGTCAATATCGCCTCAAACTTCAATTAGAGCTTTGATATTGACGGTATGTTAGATCCAATTCTAAGTAAAAATAAATATATATATTATTATTTATTATATAATGTCACCTATGTTTGTGATCATCCCATCTCCCGTAACAGAGGTCAATGCCCCCCAAAAACGCCACAGTCTGATCCACGACCACTATTTTCTCGTGATGAGCCCAGAACAAGACGCCGGCTTTAGCGTGGTCTGGGTGACGGAACACCTTATAAGGGACATAGAAATATTATAAGATAAATTTGCAATACGCTATATAGTAATATATATGTATATATAAGAATTTAGTTTTAAACCAGGATAGTTTTCTACTTAGTTAAGATATCTTTTTAAGTAGAGTATCTCGACTATTCATTTAAATTAGAATAATATTTTAGGTTTACTAGTTTTTATTATTTTAACTACATACTCTCGAGATTTCGGTTACTTTGCAACCGTGATCACGGGCAGATATGAAAAAATATATTTTTAATTATTTAAAACTCAAAATCTAAATCAAAGAAGAATAATATTAAGCCTTAGATCAATATTCTGATGACTGTTTTATGTACCTTAATATTTTCATTAGCTAATCTACTTTTACTGTAGAAACTGTTGATACCGAGAGCCATCTCCACCTCCTTGTACAGCATTATAAACACCTTCACGCCTTGCGCCTGGGGAGAAATTAGGTTGAATGAATAACTTGATCGTTAACAACAATAATAATTAATAATTAATATTATAATATGTATGTACTACTTTTAATTATGATAAAATAACAAAAGTATTGTGAATGATCTTTAAAGCAGTTTTTGGTTATTAGAGATTATTTATAAATTTTGTTTCTTTTTGTTTATAAACTTCATGATGAATAAAACATCCAACGTATAACTATAAAAGCGAACAGGCATGTAAAGCTGTTTTTCTTATAAAAGCATATTTAATATCGTTTTTATTTCATAATAATTTATTATCATTTTTTATGACAAATGAGGCAAACGAGCAGACGGCCTACTTGATGTAGTACCGTCGGCCCATATGTTTATGGCTAGTTTTGCGGATGAGTTGCCATTCTTTATTAGCAACGAGGGGGACGAAAAAGTACGAAAGAGAGGGAAAAGAGCAACCGCCTCTCTAATACAGCCATTAAAGTCTACTTTACGCTGATCTGCTATGAGAGGTTATTACTTCCCCGGTCCACAGCTACCCCTACCTACCAGCTAGTGTTGCCCAAAATCAGCCTTGCATTTTTGCAAGACCATACCTCATATTTTACCATGACAGATTGGTCAAGTCTCGTCTTAGCTACAGCTAACAAGCTACAGTATTAAGTCCACATCTCACCGCCTTTCTTTTCAGCAGTGTATCTAACCGCCAGTAGTCCCCGTGTAACGCGGGCCTCTTCATATGTAACTCGGGGCTGAGCCACCAGTCCGCCACGTATATCTCCTGTTTCGCCAGCTCCATAGCGTCCGCTACAGCTGCTAGGTAGTCGCGCCCGTCAACTAGCGAGCAGGCCGGGGTTGACGAACGGGGCGGCGCGAAGGAATGGTGCACGTTGGGGGATGTGAAGCAGCGGGCTGGATACAATACATGTATGATATATATTACCTCCACATAGTATAGTATGAAACATAATAATTATTAAGTTTATTCTTAAAGAAATGCATGTATACAGGTAGTATGAGTGATATCATTAATTGTTGGAATATGTTCCATATTATTTTATTCTTAAAGAAAGACATGTATGAGACTTATTTATAGAATATCTTAAAGATATATTATTGACATTTTTTTCTATTACATAGTATATTATTCTTATACAAATTTAGGAATTCAAAATATCATTAGTTATGATATAAATATAATACTTTTTTTAAATTGGACTTAGTTGTGCAAATTAACTTGTATAATTTTAGTCAATTATAAAAGGATATTTTCGCACTGACTGAACTGAGATAATATCATAGTATTCATTTGTCTATGGTAATAATATTTTTCTTGTTTATGATATTAATGTTTTTAAATACGTATTTATTTGCGAAGGTTCTTCCTGTATATTAAAGTATATTTCACACTGACCGGACTGGTTGGCGACGGTTCGGAGGTAGCTCATCCACTCCTTGCTCCGTCTCTTGGTCCAACACTTGATCACCATCTGCCTGCTCTGGTTTAATATCTGGAGCCCGTTTGTCAAACCGGTGGAATACATACCCGATGATACTTCAAACCTGGTATAAGAAAAATACTGATACTGATAAATATTTAAATATTAGATACGACACAACTAGATAAATAACATAGGAAATTAGGAGCACAATAAAATACGTCTACTCAATCTAACGTTTAACCGGTGACAAAGACACATACGAATACCTTAAAACTTACTAACAACTATTTATAATAAATCTACCCTATATATATCACAGAAACTATATTTACTCGAACCCTTGTAAGCGTCTGTTAACGTTTGGCATAATAATAATACTAATATTTTTATTATATACTAAGTACGTGACTATATTTTTGAATGTCATTCACAACTTGTCTTCGTTATCACGGTTGCTAAATAGTAGCCGAAACGTCGGGAGTATGTAGTTTTTACAAAAATCAAGTCGTGTAGTTTATATGAAAAATATTATTTCATTTAAATGAATAAAACTCGCGAAGAATTTAGATCTCATTATAATAATAATTTTTTGAAATTAAATTTAGTAAACACACTATTTTGTTTTTAATATAAGCGTGTAGTTTTTTCTCAGGAGTAGAATAGAAGTTATACAAGAATTATACCAACATTGAAATATTATTTTCTTTGTAGCCAAATTAAATATTGAGAATAAACATTGATATATTGATAACTAATTAGATAAGATTTCTTTTGATTTTACTTTAAGCTTGAATGTTTGGCGAAAAGAGATTATATTTAGAAACAATTGGATCAAATATTTGATCGTCATCAATAAATATGTTAATGGTAAAATAATACAATATTCAGTTTAAAGGTTTTAAATTATACTAAATACATAAATACTCATAGGAACTAATTACACTTACATAAATGAGTATTAAAATAATGGTTAACAACAATCAACTTACTCTGCAATAATCATATATACTCACTTTATTGCTGCATGAAACAATATAAATCATAAGCAAGATAATTCAAATGAAATGATTAAAAGTATCAAATAAAATGAATAATATTATTATATATAAGTCTCACCCTTGATCAAACAGCATAACACCTTTAACGATTCCATCACTGGGTCTTATGTACCCAAAGAACGTGTCCTTCACGAAGAACCATCTCTCCTGCCACTTGGCGCACATCAGACCCGTACAACAGTAGTTACACCTGGAACAAACATACATACAATATATATAATTACACTGTCTCACGTACCCCACTAGAGGGGCGGCATGCGCTCGGCAGTCTCACGACTAGCGCGGAGTAGAACGGTGACGTGCGTCGCTCTAGGCGGGGTAGGAGTGAGCCAGTGACTAGTTATTTTTACATATAAAACCACGGGGTCCTACACATACTAGGACTATACTAAATACATTATGTATTTGATTATCTATTTATATACTATCCTGTAGTATAATGTTCAAGCTGTTATTGTACATAGGGAAATTTATCTAATAAAAAAATGTTCTAAATACATAAAACATATTTTATTTTCCATATATGTCTTATTTACGGAGGTATTGATTGTTGTTTCGTTCGCCTTACTTTTGGTCTAATTAGTACAGAATAGAATTTATAATAACAATGTATAATTTCGAGCATATTTGTTCTAGAATCATCCAAGTTACAATAAAGTTAAGAATTAATACATCCAAACTGGGAGGAAATATAGTATATATATGTAAATCTCACCTAACACACACCATGTTCCCTAGAAGTCCAAAACAATTACACCCAGCCTGGCCTGGCCTGGTTGAACCGGTTCTCTTCTCAACCAGACCCTCCTTCCCTTTACAACCTAACTCCGATATGAATGACAGATGAGAAACTTCTAGAAACTTCACCTGGAATGAGAATATTATTCATCAGAATTAATATCTAATTAGGTACATAGTCATCATCGGCCTATCAAAGCCCACTGCTGAGCAAAGGCCTCTTTCTCACATGGAGAAGGTTTGAGCATTAATCACCACGCTTGCTCAAGATGGGTTGGTGATTTCAAACTTATTATTAGAAATTATAAGTCCAGGTTTCCTCACAATGTTTTCCTTTACCATCTGTCAGTGGTGTTTAAATACTGAGAAAGTACATTTGACTCGGAAAAAATCACATTGGTACTTGCCAGGATCAAACCCGCGCCCTCATGCATGAGAGGCGGGACTTTAACCACTAGGCCACCACCGACTTACATACAGGTACATAGTAAGAAATATTAATTTTTGATATTTATGTTTCAATAGTACCATACATATAAAAAAAATTCTTTATGACATCACAAATAAACAGATTGAACAAACAACATATTTTTAATAATGTTATCTGAAGTATAATGCTTTTAGCTTATCTTGGTAATGTTTGTAAAGGATTATTCTATGAACGAGTACCGAATAATTCTCTTGTATAATTTTTGTGATAGTTATATAGTATATTTTAATTATACATATGGTTATCATATACTCACAGTTTCATAATGATTCCTGTATATAGATATATTGAGTAGATTATAAAGATATTCTTCGAGTTGCTTCATACGTAACTGGATACCTTCATATGTGACCATCACTTCGGGTTTACGGGGGAATCTGGAAATGTCAAATAAAAAAATATAAATAATAATAATATTAGGTACAAAAATAAACCTTTAGTGCGAATATTTTCGTTTGTAACAAAACTTGTTTTAATTAGTAAATATATTTTGTTAAGTAAGTTACAGGTTCACTCTTCAAAAAGATTTGAGTGTGAAAATTTGAGTGACCCTTTTAGGCAAATGCCAAATTATATATGTATATAATAAAAGAAATATAATATTGTAATGAAATTCGTTGTGTAGAATTTCTATGAAAAATTTATTTTAATTAATAAACAAAATGGGTCTATCTCCAATAAGAACTCAACAGGGCTCAAGAGTACGTAGTTAATACTTTGCCGACCTTGAAAAATCGTTGGCTACTTCTTTCTATTCTAAACATTCTAACACACTAATTAATACAAAAAACCCGATGAAATTTACTCGCATTTTATCTCGTCTTTATAAAATAATGATCATAATACATACTTTAATTTTAATTACTACAAAATCTACCAAATTTCAATCTCTATAAAATAAATATTGTAACGTGTGATATCGTTAAAAAGATCTATGAGTAATAAATAGTTTGTTTATAACGATAGTGAGTCATTGATAAAAAAAAAGGATTAAATCGTACGTTATACGTAAATAGCTAGGTCTTAAAGTTATTTTATTAATGGACCGTTAATATTTTTATTTTTTCATTGAAGTTAAACTTCTCCTGCGACTCTCAACAAGGTTGCGTTAAACGATTAACGTTCCTGGGGAGGAAGAGGTAGAGATGGAATGCGTGGTTTACGAACACATGCGGCAAATCAATTGTGACTTGTAAATAACGTTAATAAAGTTTGTCTTCAAGAAACACTAAAAATTTAAATGAAACTAATAATTTTCAGAGTAGTCGAAACGTCGGAAGTATGTACTTTATCACAAAAAATATTAGTTTCATTTAAATGAATAAAATTGCTTAAAAATCAATTTCTATCCCCTTCCGTTTTTATTCTAACATTACCAAGTTTCATCTTTTCTGTACCGAGCGACTCCAAGCATAATTGACTTTTAGTACCCTTACAACATGAAATTTAACACTTATGTACGTAACAAAAAAACAGGAAAATGCTCGTTTGTAGTTTGTCTAACTAAACTTTGGTAAAGGCATAACACGATGTACACATTTGATGAAATGTTTCATTACTAAAACTTATGGAGACGGAACACAAAAATAGATCGATTCGAATTTAATTCAATAAAATTAACTACCAACTAATAAAGCAAAATCTATTGATCAGGACGAAAATAAAAATAATAATTCCAGAAAGTTCTACATTAACAGCTAAGTAAAACTAATAACCTCACCGGGGCAAAGCACCTTTTCTCTTTTTAGGCCTCCCCTCCCGTCTCCTCGAATTACTCCTCGGAACAGCTTGCAGGGCGACTATCTCAGCTTTTTCTTCACTGTCAATGGTATTCTTGAAACTGGCTCGTCTAACTTTATGCGTTTTAGTAGGGAACGGTATCTTGAGCGACGCTCTGTATAAAGACAGCTGTTGGTGCAGATACAGTATATGCTTGTAACGCTTCTTGATGGTCCACGTGAAGTCTCCATGTTGGAGATTTATCTTGTATCTGAAGATTTCATATTGACACGTCAGTATGAAGATTTTAATGTAGTAAAATTAAATTAACCTACAGTCAATATGTTATGTATAAAACTCACGAGTTGAAATAAAAAATATACATATAAAAACTTCACAGAATTTAAAATGATAGAACAAAAAATGTATCATGCATAACCTATGACACTTGAAAAATAATGTTTACGTCATTGTGTTTGCCGCGCTTTTTCTAAAAAGGTCATTTAAAAAGAGTTTTTATGCCAATCTAGTACATAAAATGACGTCATAAATATCATCACTTTCTCACGTTACAGATGACATTTATAAAATTGTACTAATTACAATTAAACTACTTTTAATTGCATTGTTATTAATTATTATATTCTATTAACGGCTAACTCGAGTCAAGTATGAATGAGTCAACACATACTTATGCACGGAGCCCTTATATGATACAATATAGAATAATAATAGTAGGCACAATACAAAGGATTTGTTTATACTCGTACATTTAATTACATGAACTTCAGAAATTTCTAGTATGGAATTTATTGGCAGTGAATACAAGGAAAATATAACTTAGTGAATGATATATAAAAAGTACAATAGAAGAAATATAAATGTTATTATTGATTCTAGAAATTTCTTCTACAATGAAATTACTGTTGAATTCAATATTAACATTTACTAGTAGCATCTCAGTAATTATACTTACAAATTTGGATTAAGCAAATGAGTCGTGACACTTCTCTCATTTTCCACAAATCTAACTTTTATTTCAACCCCGGGAATGAAGACTTTCCTGTGTACTGAATTAAACTTAATCGGTGGGTCATGGATTGATTTGTATGGAACCGATGTTGCTAAAGGAGCTGGAATAAAGGAAACCAATACATAGAATATAATACATATTAATGTTAACATTATATACAAATAAATCTATACACACACACACACATATATGTGTGTGTGTATATAAACTATACTCTGCAATATTAGAGACTAGTCACCATTATTTTGGTAAATCAAATGAGGTCATAGTATAATATGGGCATAACTACTTCAATGTGAATAACTTATTGTCCTATTAAGAACTATAAAGCTGAATTCAACAAGTAAATTCAAATAAATAAATTACTTTAATATTTTGAACATTTTATCCCCAGTTTTCTATAGTTTGTAATCATGTGAAGGGCAAACTAGTTAACCGATGAAACCATATGTGTTAAGACCAGTTAACAGATCAAATAAGAAAATTGCTTCTCAAGTTTTGTTAAATAAACAAAATTTATATATTAATTTTTTTGACTGGACTTTCATCACACTTAGTGTACTAAATAATTTGGAAGATCTAATATCATTTTAATAATGTTGATAATTCTTTGTTAACTTGTGATACTATCATTAACTGATAAATGTGTGAATCATTTAATGACATTTTATAATAGAGATATATATTTATATGTTGTTTTTATTTATATAATTAGTCATTGAAAGAAGCCTAACACATTTCTCTTACTATGTTTCTGATTAAAATGAAGAAAATTTGTTATGAAAAAATATGTTTTTTACATTCCTTAGAATCCTTACTTTGTTTCTTAATATGGAAACTTCAAATTTACCTCGTTCCGCTGCATCAATATTATGAAATTGTTAAATTAGTTGTAAAAATAATATTTTAATTTTTGTTTGAAACCTGTTTGTTTAAAATTATTGCTAACTTACCGCCAGCATCAACCTCTTCTTTGGCCTTCTCAATATCAATAATGGACAAAGATTCGGGAACAGCGAGACTCTCATCAAAATCGGAATCGATTCCAGGGTTCAAGGAATCCAGATTTTGGAATACTCCCTGCAAACAGTCCCCCGGCGTTGAAGGTGTCTGTGGTTCCATACCGTAGTTTGTGTAGCCGTACAGTTCTTCATCTTTAAATAAATTTTAAAACTTGTAACAACACATTATTCTATAATAAAACAAAACTTGAAAAAGTTATTGTCTAGAACAAACACAAATTAAGACACTTTTCTTTTTGTTTTATTTTTTTTAAGTATAAGACAAAACATTAAAAACACAATTTATACAAGTTTATTTACATGTTTTAAAGCAAAACTCTAAGTTTTTTTGTTTAATATTTATCTATTATCCATATGTTAACAGCACTTAAACATCAAACACTCCAGTAACTACCTCTCTTAATAAGGTTATGAAAACTTAGAGGTAATTCACTGCGTTCCATACGTTCTTCTGTTTTTCCGTAACTTAAATCTATTTTCACTTCACGGTTCCCTCTTGGATGCTGATACACAATATTCTGGCCATTGATACTCGCTATAATTTTAACACTTGTGTACATAATCTACAACGATAAGATAGCAGTCGAGTCGATTTTAGTTGTTTTACTTTTACCACGCTCGTCAGTTTCGGCCAAATGGTGTAATAGATAATAAAACTGACATTGTTGATTTCGTTCGAGATATGCTTCACTGGAGGCTACATCAAGGTTTAACTTTGGAGTAATAAAAAGTACTTACAAAACTTTACGAACACCTTGTTCTCCAATCACTCCTTAATCATTTGTTCATGACTGATTGTATCGAAACTGACTAGCCAACCGATAGCTGAAGAGGATTTGATTTATAATTCTTGTTGCTTGAATCATCCGTTCAATTATTAGCTCAAGGTTTCCTTGCGTAAAAACTTTGTTTGAAAGAGTACAGTAAACCTTCATGAATGAGACCGATTCACTGACGTAGGACTGGTCACTGGTTCCAAAACTATAGAAATAATGACTTTTTTATAGAATAATCTAACAGAAATATTGCTTAATCAAAATTATAATTATAAATGTGGACCTTAAGGTATTTGGTTCAAATTAAATAGTGATAATCAGAAATACGGTGAAAGTAGTTTAGATAAATATAAATATATATATTTAAAATATTATTACAACCGTATCAAAATTAGCAATTACTTCAACTATTTATCGAAATCTGTTGTAAACAATAAAAATAATGTGATTAAAAGTTTACATTTAACGGTTTCGATATAAGTTGAAATGTTGGGAAACACTGCCTGGATTGACATTATTACATGAGTTGACATGCGCCTCTATCGTTTGTAACCTTTGTGATAAGAATTTAGGAAGTTCATAAATCTTTACATTATCAAGATAAAAATGTGTTGAAAATATTCATTTAGGTCAGCATATTTTTTAATTAAGTTAATAAAGAACGACGTAGATACATAACAAACGCCCTAGATTCTTGTTTATAGCATAGTGCATTTTGTATAGAATTTTGTTTATACAGAATAAATTTATTTTTATATACTGCAATTTTATAAAAAAGTTATTTAAGAAATTTGGTGATTTAAAAATCAGTGTAGCAAATGTGTCTATCAGAATGATGTAATCGGAAAAACATAATTCGTCAGGCACTTGGGAATATATTGCTAAGATCGTATATTCTTTTACAAAATTATCCTTTTGTTGCATTAAAAGTGAGATTTAACATTGTATTTTTAGGTTAATAATGCATTTATTGACTAATTATAAAAAGTTTACTTATAATTTAAATCAATAAATACATTAGAAGAAATTTATAGCAGTGTTTTTTGTAATAATAAATATTGGGTTTTTTCGATACCATCGCCATTTTGGGGGGTTAAAAGGAACATAATTGTGAAGTAGGGAGAGCGTTTATAAATAATTATAACCGTGCCCAAAAATAAAATGTCTAAAGTGTGAACGGTTTTTTCTATCTCGAATTTTAGAATTTCACCTAAAATGAAAACTACTTAGCGCATTCAGAGGACTGTTTCTGTAAAGTAACGAATGTAATCTTCTACACTTTAAAACATCTATAATATGAAAAAGTACCATACCCACAATTAATATTAATATTAATATTAATTGTATGGGTAGATACCTACTAAAGATATTATTTACATATGTTCTATGGGTGATAATAATACAGTTAATGGGAATAATAATTAAGAATGTTTATCTATCCTCCATTCACGAAGCTATTTTAAATTAACATAAACCAAAGACGAAATTTTCAGTTAAATCATTTAAAGTTTCTGAACTATGTTCATTCAGATCCCTATGAATATGATATATTCATGTTTTGTAACTTTTTAGCAATGTCTCTTTTATTGAAAATATTTATTTTTATTATTAACAATATCTTATTATTCTTATAAGTAAATCATTAATTAAGATGAAATAAAGAATTTTTTTAGCGTTCAATCAATGAGATGAAGCCTCTCATCATTCAATGTATTCATATGCGTGTGTCGGGTCCATCGTTGTAGTGAGAGGAGCTTCAACAGTGACTGGGACTTGTGACCCAGGTGTAGGTTTAAGGGAACCCTATCTAACGCGCGTTACACGCTCACCTCCATCATCCAAGCTCCTCTCTACCTAACCAAATATTAACTATGATAAAACGAAGATAATTCACTATACTTAATATTAAATAGAACAGGTAACCATTTTTTTAAATGACAATTAAAATCAAAATATCTATAATCATTTGGATCGTGTTCTGTTTCTTAATCCAACTTTGCCAACAATGATTTGTAATTTTTTAAAGGCGCTTCAAATACATAAGTAAAAAAAACTGTTTAAAAAGAAGTAGTTCATTGGACGAATTAAAATAATACGAAAAATCAAAATTTTTAACAGTTTTTCATTCATAAATCTTCGCACATAATATTTTAACATAGTTTATTGAATATGAGAAACGGGAACGCTTCGTATGAAGTGACGATGCAACTTGGACTAAGCGGAGATTAAAACGTTAATATCTTAGAAGGAAGTTAAACAATAAATACTTATTATACTGAACCTCTTTATACGTCTTTTTTTCGGTTTTTATATATTATATATCTTTGAAGGTAATATTTATTTATAAATCTTATATTGATATCCTTACCGCAGTGCCATCACAAGGTCGGGGACTAAGGTAATAAGATCATGTAATGTTTGTTATAAATTAATAATTATTATAAAACCTTTATGCTTGTACTCTACAGGTTGCATATTTAATTATACAAAACCTTAAAACATCTGTAGCATACTATGTAGTTTATAAGTTATGTATAAAACTATATATATATATATATATATATATATATATATATATATATATATATATATATAATTTCGGATTTAGATAAAGTTATAATGTTTTTAATAGTTGCCTTTTAAGGTCTGCTTAGTTTAATCTAATGATTATGGATTGTGAAAAAAAGTGTAAACATCCGAGCTCACCATTTTGAGTGTCACACAAAGTTGCTTTCGCCAATTCGAAAAAAAAAATAATTAAAAACTTATTTACTTATAATAAAAAGAGGTAAAAAAATATTACCTTATTTAGGGATGAAAATTACGTGTCAAAGTTCAACTGAAAATAATAAATGTTTATTCAAAAACATATGACAGCAATGTAAGCCTTATGAAGGGATTTCTTTGCAAAAAAGTTCCTTGAACGCGTAGAGAACATGATATATAAAATACCTTATCTTTAAAGATAAAAAAAAATACTATCATGCAACAACTGGCGTCACTAGTTGGGTCTTTTAAACCTTAATGGCAGTAGGAATATGGAAGGAATCTTGAAATTTGATAATAAGAAAAAATATATATTTAAATTAGATTCAAGTTATAGTTTCAACAAGGATTGAATGAAATAATGCCATTAAAATCATTTATTCTGGATCTTCTTAAAGATTTGATAAATTAAATAAATTTACGTGATTAAATTATTTTTTAATTTTGTCATCACACTGGAGTGCTTATCACAAATTTTTTTCGCAAAGAAGATCTGGTCAAAAGCTATATAGTTGTTTTATTTTTTTTACAAAAGTTGCAAAATATTTCAATTAAATGCATTCAAAGGTATGGTTACATATTTCTGAATCAATGCGTTGGAATAAATAAGATACAAGAAACAGTAACCAGCTTATTTTTTTGTCTTAAGTCCATAAATTCTATTACTTAATAATGTTACACAATAAATATTTAAAATCTTTAATGTTATTATAGACTACTTCACACCGATCTTCTGCGAGAAAGTATTACATCCCCATTTATTTTAATTAGATGCAACAAATAATTTAGGCCCAGCTAGGCTCTACCACCTTGATTCTTTTTGTATTGAAGGAATAAGATAGAGGTTATATTGTCATTGCTCCAAATATAATGGTTTTCAATAGCAATTTTTAAGAAAAGTATAATTAGTAAAACTTACTAAATTTGAGTGATGCAACAAACACACTAAATACAATTCATATTAAAGGTGAAGTGTGTCAAACGAAAAGTATCCAGAAATTTATAAAAAACAAAGAATTCTTTATATCTTTCAAATTTATTTACAAGCTCTAATTAAACTAGCGATATTTATATTTTAATCGTATATAGGTACTATATAAGAAAATATTTCAAGATTATTTAAAGCACTCATTTTCAAGGAATCCTAAAATTATAAAAAATAAAAATACATAAATGTAACTTAATACAATAAGTATGAAACTAAAAATATTAAAACTGCTTCAATTTCATCTATCGGAGAGAAAACTTCGCAACTTGTGCACTTCCCTAATTTGGGTATGAAACGTTTTACTGGAGTAATGATAAAAATGACATTTTACAAACTTTCGTCACATTGAACTTTGTAGTCTTACTGTTCAAATGAATTGTAAAACTTTTAATAGCAGTAAATTAATAGTATTGCGTAAAAATAAATGCTTTAACAAATATATAATATATTCCTTCACAAATCTCTGTTAATTTTTATTTAAATATAAAATTAGATTTTCGTATCAATGAAAGTATTTTTAATATTAAACAATAATATCTAATAACTTATATTAATAACAGTAACTTATAAATTAATTATTAATTAATATAATTTAAGTCATATGCACTTTTGACTTTTCCACGAACATTGTGAGGTCGAGGTCATGCTTTTATTAAAAGCTCCGTCAAACTCAGGAGGTGAGCGGGTCGGTTATGTAAGTAAAATTACTGTTTAATATGACTTTATTATTAAAATATTTCTTTTATAAGTGCTTGAATTATTTTTAGTACAAATAAAAGCAGCTTTTCGAATTATATAAATATATTTAACTGGTGATGTGTTCTTTGAACTTGTTATGCTTTATTCTTAAAATAGATTGGTAAATTTTATTAATAATATAGGAATTAGCAAAGGAGTTTCAATTTTTATAGACTTCATAATAAGTAAAAACAGACAGCTGTGAATATATGTATGTACATTTAAAAATTTAAAAATTTTGATTTCTTTTAAAGTATATTTTTAAATGAAAACACTTCTTTTTTGTATATAT